CCCCCCCCCCGAAGACTCATTTCTTGATTCACAAACAACTGTCTTTTTGCAATGGCCTCACATTGCCGAAGGGCAAGGGAGTTCTGATGCCTGTTTTTGAGTACTGATGTCATTCACATCCTTATAATCTAATCACCCTCACAGTCCTCCCCTAATACAATCACATTGCAGATTAGGTTTCAACATAGGCATTTTAGGGACAGAAACATACAATCTGTAGCATACTCCAATGAGTATCAATGTTCTATAACATTGTTTTGGTGGGGGCTGAGGTCTGAACTCAAGGCCTAGTGCTTGCATGGCTTCCTTACTTAGCTGGGCACTTTTCTTCCTAGCCTGGCTTCAGACTATGATCTTCCAAATCTCAGCCTCCTGAATAGCTAGGGTTACAGATGTGAGCTACCAATGCTTCTGTAAGATGTATATAACTTTCTAGATGAGATCTCAGTTTAGTGCTTTTGGCTTTTATTTATATATTAGAGCAAGAATCTATTCATTGATTTGTTAATTATTTGAGATTCTATGAATTGCTTTGTCTTTCGCTTATTTTTTTTTGTTTTGTTAGAACAACTCAGCAAAATAAAATTCCAGTTTATTGTTGGACAACATTGTTTCACACATTCATCAAACAGGCCAAAAAACAAAAATAAACAGCAACTTCATAGACAAAAAAAGGAAAAAAAGAAACCTTTTTATCTTTGGCCTTTTTTTGTTTATTTTGTTATTTTTCTCTTCTTACTGATTTATAGACTTTTCCCAAGTTCTAATCTTTTGTCATATATGTGTGTGTTTCTATGTCTGTATATGTACACACACACACACACACACACACACACACCTGTAGTACAAATATATTCTTTCTTGTGGTTCAGAATTTCACACTTGTTATAGTACCTTTTAATGTACAAGAATGTTTTAATTTTAATATGATTGTATTTATCATTTTTCTTTATGACTTATATACTTATATATAAGAAATTTATCTTTATCCTAAAGTCATAGAGAATGTTTTTCTATACTGACTTCTAAACATTTAAAGTTTTGCCTGTCACATTTGTTGAATATAACACCTTGAACTGATGAATAGGATTTCAGTTTAATTTTTTTGAAGATATGGATATGTGATTATCTCAGCACTATTTATTAAGAAGTTCATCTTTCCATATGTAGTAGCTGCCTGTTAGCGTTATTAGTCATCTTAAGGAAACAGCTTTTGACTATGATTGCCTCCACTGTATGTTCTTTTCTTCAGCGATTTTCTGTCTTTGTTAATTTTGGGCTTAAGCTTCTTTATTGTATGTTTGTTTTCTCCTTCACTAATCTTTGTTCTTTTATTTATTCTTGCCTACTTTGAGAAACTTATTTGATTTCTTCTAACATTTTAAGTTGTATTTTGAATTCATTCTAAAATAGCTTATAAAGTTTCTTTGCAAATATTATTTTATCTGTGTTCTACAAGTTTTTTTGTTTTCTCTTTCCTTTTTAATTAATTTTTAAATCTTATACTATCATCTCTTCTTTTTGTCCATTACTTATTTGCAATTAATTTCTCACTTTTGCCATCTTTTTATATTGATTTCTGGCTTATTTATATTATAGGCAAATAGTACAATCTACTTGATGATCAATCAGTAACAGATTTTTTAGCTTGAGCAGTTGAGTGATATTTACTGCAATGGTGGGGAAGAGAAGCAAGAACACTGTTTTAGAGATATCATTTGTCATGTTTGCAAGGATCCTCATAGGTCAGGTAGACAGTTGGACTAGATCTCAATTTTTAGAGATGTTAGGCACATTTAACATTTTTGAATGACTTTCGCTAATGAGGAATAATTTTTATACAGTTGCAGAGGATCCTGCAAAGTCACTTACAGAGCTATCTCCAGATTTCGGACGTTCTTCACCACCACTGCAGCCACCTTCCATGAACTCCTCCTTATCTAGTGAGAACAGATTTCACTCTTTACCCTTCAGTCTGACGAAGATGCCCAACACCAATGGCAGTATTGGTCACAACCCGCTTTCTCTGTCAGTTCAGTCTGTGATGGGAGAGCTGAGCAGCATGCCTGTCCAGGAGAGCCCACCTGTGCCCAGCTCTTCTGGTAGCTCACATGGCCTCGAGGTGGGCTCGCTGGCTGAAGTGAGAGAGAACCCTCCTTTTTATGGTGTGATCCGTTGGATTGGGCAGCCACCAGGACTCAATGACGTGCTAGCTGGACTGGAACTGGTAATTTAACTTGACCTAACAATTGCAATTCTTTTTAATACGGGGTTTTGTATAGATCTTTACCTATTATATACCTTTGGGGAAACCATTATATTTGTAAAAAAAAGCCATTAGAAGAGAAAATTTTTATTACTTCCCTCGTTACTTCTGATTCAATTAATCTAAAGATTGGTTGATCTATGTTCAAGGAATAAAAATAATTTATGTTAAAGAGAATGTATTAAGGAAAGCAAATCTGTTAACAGTTAATCTCTTTGTTTCTCAGCCAGCTGACCAGAGAATGTCTAGTATATGCTCCAAAAGGAAATAACATTGAGGACTTCTTTCTGGACTAAGGAATTAATTTCTTTTTTTACCAATATTTTAATTTTAATTTTTTATGGGCCATATGGGATGTTCAGCAGGACCCAGGCCAAGTGAGATCCCTTCTCCATGCTTTCAGCATTGCCAACACAGACAGAAGAGCGAGCATGGCCAATTACATAATGACTTTTTAAATTAGCATTGTACAAGGTGGGGAGGTGATTAGTTGTGAATTCCACACATGAATACAAGGTAGTCTAGTCAGGCTTGTGGAATTAATTGTTTTAATTCAATAGCTCAGGGCTGAAGCACTAAGGAATCAACTTTTTCTTGATGTAGTTGCCATACGGGTATTGACAGGGAATCTAGTGAAAGGGTCAGCTTTGAGACACCTCAAACCTTTTAAGTGCTCTCCCTGTAAGGTATGGGGTAACGCAAATGGAAGCCTTTCTTTTACAGGAGGATGAAAGTGCAGGCTGTACAGATGGAACCTTCAGGGGCACTCGATATTTCACCTGTGCCCTGAAAAAGGCGCTGTTCGTGAAACTGAAGAGCTGCAGGCCTGACTCTAGGTTTGCGTCCCTGCAGCCTGTTTCCAATCAGATTGAACGCTGTAACTCTTTAGGTATTTGGATGCTTTCCATTTATTTCCAAGCTGGAATGACTTCATTCTGTTTTGTATTAAGTGATGGTGACAGTGTTTAAATGGTTTTTTTTTTTTTCCCAGTGCTCTTCAAGCTTCTAAGTTGGTATAGTTGCTTGGTTTATTATCTAGGTAATTGTGTGATAGGAGGAGCATTTTTTAAGTGTTGGTCAAGGAAAGTAGGACCTGAAAAATAGTGGGATTTATTTTTTTCTTTCTGTTGGTTACACACATTTAGTTTTGAGCAACACTGGAGGTAGAAATTGAAATGTGGCCATCTTTCTGGCACTGACATGCCCTTAGTGAGTGGTTTAAGTATACCAGTCAGCATGTCTTATCAGAAATCGTGCCCATCGGATTAGCTTTAGTTTGATGGATAGATGACAACTCTTTGTCATCACTTGTGATGGATGGCAGTTTCCTAGTTTTGTCTTTTCCCAGTTCTGGATAATAGGGGTGAAACATGAGGTTTAAGCAGATCTAAATAAGAAAAACTTGTACATGGAAAATATTTTTCTTAGTGTTGAAAGTATGGGACATTTTTTCTCTTTTTTGGACTTCAAAGTAAAATATTTTTTAACAGATACTTTTATACATGATACTCTAAAGTGCTTTTTAAATTATGGAGGAAGTGAGGTTGAAAATGAACAAAAGCATTTTTTACAAGTCTTGTTGAATAGCAAGTAATCAAAGGTCGGGGAACAAATACTGCATCAAAATAACAAAATATATTTAAAAATTAAGATATGAACAGACATATGGGAAAATATACTATAATAGCTTAAAACAGTTCATTTTTAAAAATCTTTTCAGCTTTTGGGGGATACTTAAGTGAAGTAGTAGAAGAAAATACTCCACCAAAAATGGAAAAAGAAGGGTTGGAGATAATGATTGGAAAGAAGAAGGGAATCCAGGGTCATTACAATTCTTGTTACTTAGACTCAACCTTATTCTGGTAAGTTCAAAAGTAATGCCATGGTAGGGCCATGGGACAGGGCCGTGTGTGTGTGTGTGTGTGTAACTAGAAGTCAAGAAAGGGAGACTCTACTCTCTAATTTGTTTCTTGGAAGCTATGGATGTTATAGCCTATTCCTGTATCCAAAAAAGTAATGTAAAAATAATGCAGTGAATAATGAGTGAATAGTACCTGATTGGGTGGCGCATGTTGAACAGATACACTGAAGGCATGCATCTGCAGTGAATAAGTGCAGTGTCTTGAGGCACATGTTAAGAAACATGATTTGTAATAAGCCAGTGGCTGAATTTGTACTGACTTTGTTTTATGTAATCATAGAAGTACTTTATTAATTTTTTTGCTAGTCCTGGGGCTTGAACTTAGTGCTTCGGCACTGTCCTGAGCCTCTCGATGCTCAAGGCTAGTGCTCTATCACTTGAACAACAGCCCTACTTCCAGCTTTTTCAGAGTAGTTTATTGGAGATAAATGTCTCACAGGTTTTTCTGCCCTGGCTGGCTTTGAAACATGATCCTCAGATCTCAGCCTCCTGAGTAGCTAAGATTACAGGTATGAGCCACTGGTGCCTGGCTTACAAAATATTTTTAATAGAATTACTGTTTCTCTCATATACGTAGGTTTTGCCAAAGAGGAACAGCTTAACATGGGAAGAATTATTAGGCTCTGAATCTTTAGGCCCTATGTACTGTTTAAGGTACGCTGCATGCAACCTATAAGCTGTGTGCAGCTATGTCATAAGAGTTAGGAAGTTAACATGGAATATCAGAATTTTAAAAGTAGACAAAGAAGAAAGATATTGGATCATTTTTTGATAAATATTTTGACAAGAATAATCCTCATAACAATAATTCAATATTCTTTAGTTTTTCTGATAAAAATAAATATTGCCCAAATATTGTTTTCTTTGATAACCAACAAATTTCTGGTTTTAGTCACACACGAGTAATTAAAAGAAAAACATAGGTCTTTTGTTAAATGGCCAAAAGGAGAGTGAGAAGTATTATACTGAGTTGTGTTTGACTTGAGAAATAAATTCCAAATTTCCTTTTGTGTTGCCAGATTTGTAGGCTTTCTTTCCATTTTTTTCCAGGTCTTTTTCTTAATATACTCTTGGCATGTTTTGATCCTTTAACACAGTCAATGCATAGTTTGTTTGCCTCCTTAATACTCATGATCTCCTTAAACTGGAGATCAGGGAAGTCAGTGAGCCCTTACAATTGACCCATAGGAATCTTCACAGAATCTGGCTACCTGTGTTCACAAAATCTATGATTTTTATGTTCTTTTTTTCTTTAAATTCTTCTTAGAATGTTTCTCAAAAAAGATTGTGTTTATAGCAAGAAGAAAACTATTGTTTTTATTTTACAGCTTATTTGCTTTTAGTTCTGTTCTGGACACTGTATTACTTAGACCCAAAGAAAAGAATGATGTAGAATATTATAGTGAAACTCAAGAGCTACTGAGGACAGAAATTGTTAATCCTCTGAGAATGTAAGTAGAAGATGCATATATGTTACCTTTGGATGAGGTTCTGCTTGCTGGTTTTGGTACAGTAATTAATTTGTGATCTGTATTCATGTAATAAGAAATGGGATAAGACAGGTGCTGGTGGCTCATTTCTATAATCCTAACTACTTAGAAGGCTGAAGTCTGAGGATCACATATCTAAGTCAGTGTGAGCAGAAAAGTCTGTGAAACTTTTATCTTTAAGTAACCAGCAAAAAGCTAGAAGTGAAGGTGTGGCTTAAGTGGTAAACACAAGCCTTGAGCAGAAAAGCTAAAGGATAGAGCCCAAACCATGAGTTCAAGCCCCATAATCAGCACAAAAAAAAGAAGGAAAATTGGTTATCTTGGTACAATACTGATTTATTTTAACCTTTGATCCTTGTGCTTATTTTACTTATATAATTTCTTTAATCTGATCTGTGTCTAAAACTTAAAACATAAAATATGAGTGGTTTAAATAATTGTAGAAGAGGATACTACAAGTTAGCAATGGCAGTATGTTTATATTATACTTGGGCTTTTGATCTTTTCAAATAGTTTGTTCCATCACCATTCCTTACAATAATTATGCTTATTTGTGAAATTGATGTAGTATAGCTTTTTAAACTAAATTTAATCTGAAAGAAAAGGCATAAGAGTTTTTATTTATAGACCCATGGTATTTGACACATACTAGAAACAATGAGATGTATTTAAGTAATAGTTTTTCTTTTTAAAGGAATTCATTTAGGTATACCTCTACCTCCTTTACCAAAGTGATTCTTTCTCCATTTCCTAGTTTACAAATTATAAATCTGTCTCTTTTTCGGGGTGGGAACACATGAAACCATTTTAATGGGTACAAGTACACTGACAGAGGTTATATAATAAGGAATATAGAGAACAAACTATAGAATGTAAAGTCCAGATTTAGAGAAATTTAAATTTTGTGACATACTTTTTGCATTTAACAATCAAAATATAGTTTGGCACAAGACTTTAACCAAAAAAAACACCACAGAATACTAGAATACAATGTATATTCTGAGTGACCTCTACTATGTCATATGACTAGGAAAGTAAAATAAAAAGAATAAATTACCTACTCTTCTATTTTCCTTCTGTAATGAATTCCACCATCAGCTTACCTTTTAAAGTAATTATAATTGTTGATTTTCACATTATCATTTTGTCTTTTGCAAACTTGTAAACAATCTGTCCCCCTCCCAGGACTTTCTCTCTCAAAATTGTACATTCAGTTTTATAAAGTGACATTTGCTAAGCAAATTTTAAAAATATAATAAAGCATTTATAATATCTTAAATATTATATTGTCTGCTTATTATAGTATATTATTTTTAGGGAATATGATATTGTCATCTGGTGTTTTTGTCTTATATCCTTAATTTTTCAAACCTCAATAAGAAACATATAATTGCATTCTTGGAAATAATTGTCTAGTCTATGGATTTATGTCATCTTAGAGTTGTGTAAGAAATGTGTGATTATTAAGAGGTATTATATAGTATACTATAAGTGCCAATGTCACTTAAATTAAGTTTTTATCAATGCAGATATGGATATGTGTGTGCTACAAAAATTATGAAACTGAGGAAAATACTTGAAAAAGTTGAGGCTGCATCAGGATTTACCTCTGAAGAAAAAGGTGGCCATCTTACTTTATAATGTATCACTAAAAATAACTTGAGTGCAGATTACTTAGTTATATGCTAAATTATTAGCTGAAATTTATATTTCATTTTAAATAAGAACTTTTTGAGGGGCTGAGATACAGCTCAATGGTATCATGCTTCCCCAGTATGTAAGAGACCCTGGGTTTTATCCCTAGCACCACAGAGCAAATTAACAAATAAGATTTTTTTCAATCTGATGTAAGAATTGTTACCTATTGTGTAATTCTTCCTTTCATCTAAAAGTATATGGTGATGTGGATTAAGGACCCTCTTAAGGAGCCAGCTGGTTCCATAACATTAGATAAATTAATAAGCAGTTCTTTCCTTTCTATCCAGCATTGATATATTCTGAGTTACTTTCTCTTTCTCTGGTGAAGGAAGGGTGCATTGAGTTAGCAATGCTTTCCCATTTACTTTATCCCTGTTGTCCGAGGGAGTTCTCAAATGAAAGAATAAGGTTATGTTTATAGTTGATATTTTAATCTATACATAGCTAACGGCTTCAGTTCCTAGTCAGGTGCAATAGCTCACTCCAACCATCCTAGATCCTAGTTCACTGTTCCAGGCCTGGGCAAAGAGCAAGGCCATGTCTCAAAAATTAGCAGAGCAAAGAGGGCTGGAACTATGGCTCCAGCGGTAGAGGTCTAGCCTAGCAAGTACAAATCCCTGAGTTCATAGCCAGTACTTTAAAAAAAAGAAATTCAGCTTTTGACTTGGAACTGGTTAGCAGTGTACTGTAACCAGTTGTAATGTTTAGAAATTTGCTAATTGTTTAAACATTAGGGAAAAGTGTATCATAATTCATATTTTATTCTATTCAATCTAAAATACTTCAAATAGAAAGTTTTTCTATAAGTGAAGGACTTTACTCTCAAATACTCTCAAACTATTCTTTTAGTTGAAATACAATTGAAAGAATTAAATTGAATTTAGACGTATAAACAAAGATTGGAATTACATTAAGATTTTGCCTATGACTAACTTGATTTTTTTTTAATTTTCTGCTAGATCCTGAAGAATTCCTAAACATCCTGTTTCATCATATTTTAAGGGTTGAACCATTGTTAAAAATAAGGTAACTTTCAGGCTGGGAAGGTGGCTCAGTGGTAGAGTGCTTGCCTTGCATGCATGAGGCCCTGGATTCGATTCCTGAGCATCACATAAGCAGAAAAAGCTGGAAGTGGTGCTGTGACTCAAATGGTAGAGCACTAGCCTTGAGCTGAAGAGCTCAGAGATAGCGCCCAAGCCCAGAGTTCAGGCCCCATGACCCACAAAAAGTAAATAAATAAATAAGGTAACTTTTAAAAAGGTTATAGAAGGATTTGAAAATCAGTCACTCTCATTTCCACTATAACTTTTCAATAGGATGATTTCCTTACTGTTTATTTCGTTTTCTATTTGTTTAGGACTCTTAATTATGCTATGCAAGTATAAATGCAAATTAATGTTAATAATTATCTTCTTCATAGTACCGTGTTTAACTTAAAGAACAAGCCCAATGTAGCTGTAGAAAGGAATGTTATTGCAATTCATTTTTAATGAAACTATGTGAATATTTCTACTAATGAACCTTTTAGGAGAATCTAATTCATGCCTAATCCAGCTCTGTGAAAGCGTTAAACTTTTGACCACCTGTTAATGAAAGAATTAAGTTAGCTTTAGATTACATCTCTTGCTCTCAGTTTTGTTACTTGGCCTTTTTCTTCCCCATGTTACATTTGAGGTGTTCCAACATTACTGAGATGGCCTCAGTGATGTAGCTGCGTATATTGAGTGTTTGCAGTTCAACTGGTGAACCTTTCTCCCTTGTAGTCTTGTTTCCTCTGTTGACCATCTTAGTAAGGTACTCCTTGCTTCTCTTAAAGCCAGTCATTGACAAGTTCTTGTTCTTACCTCTCTGTGTAGGTGAAAGGTTAAAAGCATCTTTGTACACTTTTAGGCACATGGAAGAAAGAAATAAACTTACAGTTCATGAAAGTAAAATCAGTTTTACTGAGATTTTATTGAGATAGATGTTTTCAAAGGATTTATGCAAGCTGAAAGGTGACTTGATTAATCGTGTTTTAGGAAGTTTAAAAAAATGTAAAAATATTAATGTTTTACAAAATAATTTGCACAGAAGCAGAATCTTTACTTGTTTTTTATTTTGGGTCTTACAGAAAGTAATTTTAGAATTCTCTACAAAATGAAGTAGGTGAAAATATTGAAGAATTCTTTTATCTAAAAATAAGTTTCATTATAGTTTGTTTTTGTAAAATAATAGACATTAAAACAGTGTGTACTATGGGTATAAAATTAGAACTATTAATACAACTGAATAGAAAGTAGCACAGTAGTTCAATATTATAGTATTCAGTTTTCAAACACAAATGGGAAAGGAAAGGTATATATATATTTTGTACATATAATAGGACATCTAGCCATCAACTGGGGAGAGAAAGAATTTTGGCTTTTATCTTTCAAAGGAATAATGCTTCAAAGAGTTATTTTTATATTTAGTTTTTTTTCATAGTCTAGCATACCTGAAAGATGTCAACCTCCCAGTATTAACACAATTTGAAAACTGTAGTGATTCTCAAGAGAGCTTGTCAGGGTCAGACACTGCTCCATCTGAAGGCCTTGTGAGCTTGGGAAGGATCCTAGAGGGCTCTTACACACCTGAGAGGTCCACTGTCCACTCTACCCCTAAACAACATCTTATATTATTGTATCTGAAGATTATAAAAAGTATTTTAAATTAGTCTGCTTCTGTCAAGGGTCATTTCCCCCCTGTACTTGTCTTTGTTGGTAACCCAGCAAGAGTCAGCTTCCAGAACAAGTTGGAGGATGAGTACCTTAAAAATGAGATTTAATCAAATGATACAAAAGAATTGGTCAACAAATAAACAGCAAAAATAGAATTTCCACAAATAGGGAAGTGCCCCAGTACTGGGAGGAAGAAAAGCTGAGTGGAGCCCAGGGGTAATGTGTAGGACAACCCAAGAAAAAGCAGATGGGAGAAGTGGAAGGTAGATTCCAGCCAGAGCTCCTGAAGGAAGAGCAGTACTGAGACTTTCAGAAGTTTGACAGACTTAAGTTCTAAGAATAAAAATGTACTGAATTCTTTAAGAACTAGGACTAAATTACCATTCACAGACGTATTACAAGATGTACTTTAGTAAGATAAACTGAAATTAGAATAAAGAAGTGGGATGTAAGAAACAAGGAAGAGTCAAGAAATTGGTAAACGTGGGTAAATTAGACCTTCACATTTAAAACAATAACAGCGATGGTAATAGTGACTAATTGTGTATATAGCTTCAAAAACAAAATGACACTAATGTCATAGCCACTTATCAAAGGAGGCTGGTAGCTGGGAACAGACAAAAAATGGATAACACTGGAATCAAGAAGCAAAGACAGGGAATTTTCCAATTGTGTGACTTGTGTCTCTCATTACAGAACATTACAGAGACTCTTCCTTGGACATGTCATATCTATATTGTATTCAATCCCAGGTAACTCAGATGTATGAAGGACTTCAGTGGCCACCCATTATGGTCTGACAACAGACCATAATGGGTGAGCTGGAAACCTATAATCCTAGCTACTTGGGACACTGAAATCAAGTGAATCACAGTTTTAGGCCAACCTGGAAAAAAATGGTTCACAAGATCCCATCTCAACAGAAAAAAAAATTAATATATAAGTTACCTGTGTTTCTTTCTGCATGCTCTTAGATCGGCAGGTCAAAAGGTGCAAGATTGTTACTTCTATCAAATTTTTATGGAGAAAAATGAGAAAGTTGGAGTTCCTACAATTCAGCAGTTACTAGAATGGTCTTTTATCAACAGTAACCTGAAATTTGCAGAGGTTCGTGTTACTGTTTTGTTTGCTTTGCAATGCTGGGATGAAACCAGGGCATTTGCACTGTACTGAAATAAGTGCCTTCCACTGGGCCTCATTTCCGCCTTCCCTGGGTTTTACCTGGAAGTGGGGAGGGGTCTTAGGCTCCTGGTAGACTCAGTGACTTGACTTGAACCAAGAACAGTTTGAAGCATGCACTGTTAAGGAAACAAAATTTTAGGAGCTATTGTCCAAAAAGAAATGTACTCCTTAGCTGACTCGTAACTGTAACCCCTCTGTACATCACCAATATAATAACAATAAAACTTTTAAAAAGGAAAAAGAAAGCAAAGTTTTAAAATTGTGCAGTGTTTCACCTTTGTCCTCATTACAGAAAATGCCTTAGATTTAAGATTGAGCTCTTTTGAATTTTAGGTGCCAAAGAAAACATCAACCTAATTTCCAACTTGAAAATGTTTAAGTAGTTTAACACAAGAGAAAGATTTATGTTTTTGTCATTTTACCCAGGCACGTTACATTAATTAAATACTTTCATTAACTAATGCAATATATTAAAAGAGAATGTTTCAGTGTGTTCACAAAAAAAATAAAATAATAAAAAAAATAAAAGAGAAATGTTTACTTTCTCTCTTTGTTAAAGAGACAAAATGTCAATAAATTCATTCTTTATTGGTTTGTTAATGAGCAAGCCATTTGGATTAATTTTCTTTCTTTACTGTCTAAGCATCCATAGGACTTTAGTAGTTCATGCTTGTGGTTTATTTTTACTATGGGATGTTTTAGTACAACCTCAGCAGCCATATTCACTTATTTGTTTATTTATAGGAATAGCATCCTCTAAAGAATGGTTTCTGTGTAATATTTTAAAAAACTAATTTTCCAGAACGTTTCTTAAAAATAAACCCACAATAAGCAGACAGCATAGTCATGGTGTTGTGCTGTTGTGGGGTTATTGCTGCGTGCAATGGCCTGGTCCTGGTGTGTATCCATTCACAGGACGGAAGACTTCCTTGAGTATGTGCGCATTGCATTTTATAGGCTCCTGGCATTATGTGAAAGTCAGTGCTTGCTTAACAGCCGTGGCTATTCCAGTTTCATAGAGAAGCATTTTTTTCAGCACTTTGATTTCTAAAAATGTGTATCTTTGTTTCTAGGCACCATCATGTCTGATTATTCAGATGCCTCGGTTTGGAAAAGACTTCAAACTATTCAAAAAAATTTTTCCTTCCTTGGAATTAAATATAACAGATTTACTTGAAGACAGTAAGTACAAGACTTTTGCTTGTATTGTTTGCTTTTTAGAAATTAATTGGTCATTCTTCTTGTTTTTGGAGGTTTTAATGTTGGGCTTCCCACTTGCTGGGCAGGTGCTACTGAGCCATACCTCCAGCTAGTCTTTCTCATTTTTACTTTAGATATAATACTTTTATTAGGCAATTTGATATTAAACCAGTAATTTTAGTTTGGGGATTTCATTTTGAAAAAAGAATCAAAGATTAAGTATTGTAATCTTATGTGATTAAGAAATTAGAAACAACCCAAATGTTAATGAGAGGGAAGTAGTTGAACAAATTTATATATCCATATAATAAAACTATTACCATTTTTAAAAATCCTATTTTTGAAGACCAATGTGTATGGAGATGACCATGATGCAATATTAAGTGAGAAGGTTAGTCCATTCTACAGGAGGAGCTTAATACAGATGTGTCTGTGTAAACACATATGCACACATAGTGAATATTCAGATGTAACTTTATTAGAGGGAATCCATAATATTGACAGTTGTTACCTCTTTTTACTAAAATTGTACATGCTTTCAGTTTTCTTCTCATGTTAGAATTTTCATCAATGGAAATTTTATAATCAGAGGGAAAAAACACTCTAGAATATGTTGTCAAAAATTGGGGGCTGGAAATGTGGCTTAATACAGTTTAGGAGAAGGATGGGAGAGTGTTTCTGAAGCCTGGAGTATTATCTTTCTAGAGCATAACTTTTTAATGGAAGAATGCATTTCTTAAAGGCCCCTCCCCGCCTCCTCTTTCCCGCCTCAGCTCCCAGGCAGTGCAGGATCTGTGGAGGGCTTGCAATGTACGAGTGTAGAGAATGCTACGATGACCCCGACATCTCGGCTGGAAAGATCAAGCAGTTCTGTAAGACCTGCAACACTCAAGTGAGTCTTCCTTCACCACTGGATGTAGAACAATAAGTCATTCATAGGTCAACACAGGTTTTAGGTTGTAAAAAGTTTGTAAAATCATAGCTAACTTCAAAACCCATAATAAAATGGTATCATCTCTGCCTCTTCTATCTAGTGACATGACAGACATTTGTGACGTCCTTGCTTGCTATTTGGAAGAGATCTGTGGAGTCCATCCACTTAAAATGCTGCATTTATGCATGGTCTTCTCTTTGTGGTCCATTTCAGGTCCACCTTCATCCTAAGAGGCTGAACCACAAATACAACCCGGTGTCCCTTCCCAAAGATTTGCCTGACTGGGACTGGAGACACAGCTGCATTCCCTGCCAGAAGATGGAATTGTTTGCTGTTCTCTGCATAGAAACAAGCCACTATGTTGCGTTTGTGAAGTATGGGAAGGATGACTCTGCCTGGCTCTTCTTTGACAGCATGGCTGATCGGGATGGTAACTAAAATCCTTCTTCTACAGACTACAGCCTGTCTGTTTGCAGTGGCTTAATTCACAGTAGGATAGCTTGTTCTGAGTAATAAAATACTTTGTCAGAAAATCCTTTCAGGAATATATGTAGTGACAGAGACTTAACTTTTTGTAATTCATGAACAACCCTGATACCTAAACTAAAAAGTTATATTGTTTTGATAACCTGATATGCATATGATAGTTAAAATGAAGAAGTATAATGTTCTTAGGCCTGAAACAGTTTACCTTCTACTTCTTTTTATTTTTGTGTAAACTATAGTAGCCAAACTGAGCACCTTGCATACTAAGCTATCTGGGAGCTCATTGATCTTTCTACTGAAATCCTAGGTTTCTGTTATTTAAGTAAGCTGAGGTTTAATGTGTCTGGTATTTAATGCAGTATTTCTGATATGATAATTATGTTTTCTATGCTAAACTATGAGCTAAGAGCAGAAGTAAGTGTCCTCTTTGGAAAAGTAAGCCCTGTTTCTTCCTGAATTGGGTGGTGAACTGAACCTTCCAGATCATTTTATTTTTCTTTTTGGCTGTTTTGGGGTTCAAACTCAAGGCCTCACTCTCATTCAACTTGCTTGCTTCTTGGTTGTCACTCTACCATTTGAGCCCAGATTTTTGCTGGTTATTTTGGAGATGAGTCTCATAGATTTTTCTACCCAGAGTGGCTTTGAACTGCAGTCTGGCAGATCTCAGCCCCCTGAGTGGCTAGGATTACAGGCATGAGATGCTGGCACCCAGCTTCTAGGTCATTTTCTAGCAGTCTTCGGCATTGTTTTGTACATAAGTGCTAGAGGCTCAAGGATTCAGGAATGAAAATACTGCTTGCCCTGCCTGTCTGAGTTTGTAGAACAGGGCCAACCCCGAACAAAGTTGGAAATATGGTATCTATTCCTTTTCCTATACCCCATTTTCCCTTTTGCTACTCTAATCCCTAGTCCCCAAGGCTTTCTGGTGTGGCACTCTAATCATTTCAGGCACCCCCAGCAGTAGCTTCTTTTTTTATTAAATATATATTTTTATTTTAATGATACTGTACAGAGGGGTTACGGTTACATGAGTAAGGTAATGAGTACATTTCCTGTTGAGCATTGTTACCCCCTCCTTTGTTTTTCCCCTCTTGACCGAGGTGTAACTAAGCTCTAGGCCAAAGAGTTCTTAACCTTTCTATTTCTTCTTTTTTGTAGGTGGTCAGAATGGCTTCAACATTCCTCAAGTGACACCTTGTCCGGAAGTGGGAGAATACTTGAAGATGTCTCCAGAGGATCTGCACTCATTGGACTCCAGAAGAATCCAAGGCTGTGCCCGCAGACTGCTCTGTGATGCTTATATGTGCATGTACCAGAGCCCAACAATGAGCTTGTACAAGTAATTGGGCTCTTCCAGAGCAGGGCACAGCCTGAGCGCAGAATTGCAGTGTGCATTGGCCTTCAGTTGGTGGTTCTGTCCAGCGTCCATTGCCGGCAATGGGCGTTGGGCATCTTGGTGGTGATGGCTCTCAGCAAAGGATTCCTGTGTTTCAAAAAGTTACTTTTGTGTTCCCAAAGTATTTAATAAGAAGCATTTTGCACTCTAGAAAGAATGTTTATGTTGGTTTTTTAAAAAGTCTAAATGAAGTTATTAATACCTGAAGCTTTAAGTTAAGTGCATTGATCATATATTTTTGGAAGCATAAAATTTTAATTGTGACAGTTTCAAACCTCTTTTAGTCCATTGAGAATGTAAATAAATATTTCTTCTTTATGGACCAATGCTATGAAATCATTTTTCCATTGTAACAGTTGCCTTGAGGAAGAAACAATTTGATTTTATTAAGAATCTCCTTTGAGTCCAGTTGTTAAAGGTGTACTTGAGTGAGTTTAATTGTTAATTCTTCCCTATATAGTGCTGATTTCCTGCATGTCCACAATTTGATGAGCTTCTGTGTTTCTACAACAGTGGTCAGAAAATACTGAAATTCCCTTAATGGTGGTGTTCTCTGTGTGTTCTGATTTTGAGATAAATGAGTGATTTTGTTGTAAAATGTCCATTTTTCAATGTAATTTTCTTAGAGGATTAGGGTACTCAGCATCTGAAGCTGTCTGGTCATAGCAGTAACTGTCACGACACAAGGGTGTTGTTTTTAAGGGGCTGTAATTATTTTGTGAAATAGAAAATAATAAATTTTATGAAAGGATTGTAGTGATCAGTAAATAATACATTCTTATAAAAATATACAGTTCATGTAAAACAAATTTGGCACAGAGAATTACTTATGCTTTCTTAAAGGGATATGTTAGATATTTAAACCTCCTATTTTAAATAAATAAGAGGTTTATTTTAAACAGGACTGTAATTTTCAGCTCCATCAATCTCACTAAACACTCGCTAAACTCAGCTTGGTTTCAGCTAAGATAATGACAGTTATACCTCAGATTGTTATTGGCATGGTAGTAGTAGCTCTGTTCTCCTCCAGATGAACTCAGTGGAGAAAGGGTATCGACTGAGGACTGTCCCTAGTGTGTATGTACAGGCCACGGTGGAGGCAGTAGGCTGGAGCCATCCATTATCAGTGTCAGTGCCGTGGGATGTGTATTCTCTGAGTATCGTTGTCAGGTATTGTCTTTCTGGGATGACTTCCCACCTTTCAAGATGTCATATGTATAGCATATGACTTTATATGTAATGTCAAAAGAGGCTTTTCAAACTCTGAAGTTATTTATTTATTTGTTTGTTTATTTATTTATTCATTTTTGCCAGTTCAGGGGTTGAACTCAGGACCTAGGCACTATCCCTTAGCTTTTTTGCTCAAGACTAGGACTCTACCATTTGAACCACAGTTCCACTTCCAACTCTTTTGATGGTTAATTGGAGATAGAAGTGCCACAGACTTTCCTTCCCAGACCTCAGCTTCTTGAGTAGCCAAGCCTACATGTGTGATCCACTGGCACCCAGCTGCAGTTTTTTTTTTAAAGACATCGTATCCATTTGGTTTTGTCATTCCATTTTGCTAGTATGTATTAGCTTAATAATCATAAGGTACAAAACTTCTCATAAAACCTTTCACCTTTGCAATGGAACAGTATGTGCATTCTGTACAAGGTTTTGTACTGCTTGGTGTATAGGCTGGTGCTAAGGCCAGGGCTGGATGGGGTGAGGACCTCTGGCCACCACCTGGTCCTGCCTTCATTGTTCTGGGACAAGCAAGGGCCTGGAATGCAAGGTCTGAGCTCTCTTCTAGCTCTGGCCACCTGGATGCTAGACACTGTGTAACAATTAGGTGCTCAGGGAAGCACTGGATGACAGAGTTTATTGGTCAAGGGCATCCCTGCTCAGGCAAGGCTGGATTATCAGCCTAGGCAAGCGAAGGCAACTCCTTTATTGTGCAAGTGGAATCCACATCCAAACTGAGAGAGACTAGCTGGCAGGCACACCAGTAGAAGGCCTGAAGATCTGTTTGGGTGCATGAGTGTGCGGAACCTCACCCATGGATTAGTCCCAATGACTCCCTCTCCAAGGGGAGCCATCTGTCTTTCAGCACTGCTGGGGAAGGAGCTGCGTCTGTGTAGTCTCAGACCACATTTTGGCTTCTTCACCTGTCCAGTGAGAGGGTTGATTCACTTCCCTATGAATGGAAAAGAAGTATACATTTCAGGGTCCCAAGCAATGTTTGCTGGATCTGACTTCCTGTGGAGGTCTACAAGTCAGCTTACTGGGGAACCTGGTACAGTTTAGTGGCCAGATCTGAATCCTAGCCTAGCTTCTGAGAACCATAAGAAAGTCTGGAAGCTTCTTCCCTCCCTGTGCATTTCTATCCCTCTAAACAACTCACTTCTACTCCTTGTTTCAGTGAAGTTTGGTTTGTCAAAGGGGGCAGGATTGGATTGGGGCTGGTTGCATGGCACAGAAGCCCAATGTACCTATTGATTTATTTTGTAGTCATAAGTTATCTTTAATATTTTTCCATTGGCTTTTTAAAATGTTTTGGTTGTCCTTTCTTATCATATCTACATTCAAGATGTAGACTCATTTGTAATATGGTTCACGATCCAGAACTACAATAGAAAATGTAAGAAATAATATTCTTCCACCTCCAAATAAGTGTGTTTATGAGGATGGGAAGAGAGGTTGGGAGGGAAAGAGGGGGGAGGGAGGGAGAAAGGGAGCGTAACTACATTGTAATATTGTGGCTCAGTGTGCCCAATCCTTCACTGTCAGCTTTATAAGTGTCTGACTCCATCCATGGAAATGTGTTCTAAGACTCATATGGGGAAACACATTGAAATCAAGAGAAACAGTAACACAAAAAATCAATAGAGTTGTTACAGTTGCCCCAGATTTCCCCCTTAGAATAGTCTAGCACTTTTGTGTTTGCCAAGTACTTAGGTGAATGTCCAGCATCGTTGTGTCTTGGCTCACACACAGTCATTTGAGAAGAAGCATGACTTGTCAGTGGAGCCGGTCACCTAAATGTCTCATTGTTTTGAGTGTGGTGTCTTCACAGGTTCCGTGTACACGGTTCCTAGACTGGATGTCATATCCAGTGGGTTTCGGATGGTTGTAGACTGTGGTGAGAATGCAGAATATGGTATTAGACTGCAGCTGCATGACCACCATGCGTGTTTATTGGACAGTTATTAGGTTCCCGGCTCTGTGTCACATAGCATGTGAGACCTGGTCCTTGAGCTCACAACAGTTTACCACGGATTTCCACAAAAGCATCTGCTCCTGGTTCTCCCCTTGCCAGTGAGTGGCAGGTGGGCAGGGCCTGTGGGAGGGGCAATGGTGTAACTGGGAAGGAAAGGACTAGGGGTTAGGAGACAGGCCCTTGCCCTGTCCCTTGCCCTGTAGTCTCTTGCTTGGGCTTTAGTTTCTTTCTCTCATGGGGGGGGGGGGGTTAGGCTATTTCTATTTCATAGTGAAAACAAAGTATCAATTCTGAGGTCCCAAGCTGTGCCTGCTGGATCTGATTTCATGCTGAAGCTAGGAAGTCTGCAGGTCAGCTCAGCAGGTGAACCTGAATGACCCAGCCAGGTGTGAAATCCCTGCAGTGGAAGACCACATAGTTCCTTTCCCCTTCTGTGATTGTGGGATCATACAATGTTGTTGTGCTCATCGTAAAGGGAAATGTGAGCAATTGCATGTTTATTACATTGTTCATCTGTGTTTACATGGAAGAAATGCACTTTACTAAATGTACTAAACTCTTTTATCTCCTAGAGATCTTAGCAGTCTTTGGAACAGAGTTTTAAAAGGATGTTTGATATTATTTGCCTGAACATTTTCCTCTTTTGTATCTTTAAGGGAAATCAAGACTCTGGGAGCCAAAGAAATAGAAAAAAAATTCCGATGCAATGTTAAAAGGAGAGAATGACATCACTCTTACTATCTACTACCTTAAATTACATGGGAAGATTTATCTCTGGGATAATTAGTAAAAGTCCTCGTTAAAGTCCAGGAGTCCTAAAGGCCTATAATTAAAACAAGACCACCTTCCCTGGGGGTTGGGGATGCTGTACTTAGTGACATTTGCAATTCTCCATCAGCAAAAACCAGTCTTTGAATTCCCTAGTACAAATGCTGGTGATTTTAGGAGTGTAGCAGGTGGGGCCACACAAGGACAGTGCTCTGGAGACTTGGTGTCCTCTTCCTGTGGGCAGCTGGCCTTGACTTTATCTGTTCTCCTTTTGGGTGTCTTATTGGGAAGAAGAGACAGGATGTGATGGAGCATCTTCCTCTTATTCTTAATCCTGGAGCAGCTGAAGAGTTTCTCTTGAATCAGAGCAGTGATAGGCAGTAGCCAGCAGAGGAGCGGCTGAGGATGGTGCACAGGCGGGAAGGAAATAGAATTCTTCCTGAGCACGGTAAACGGCAGTCGGTACCTGTAGCAGCGTCCCAAGAGGTCCATCCAATAGCCTGGGCTTTCTGTTTTTGTTTTACCAGATTTTACAGGCTTCATTTCCTTTTCCCCTTGCCTTACCTTGCCTTTCTTTTCTTTTTCTCTCCTCCTTCCCTCCTTCTGTGGCTCTTTCCCCGCTCCTCTGTCCTTTCTCTGTCTCGCTCTCTGTTTCTGTCTCTGACTCTCTGTTTCTCTCTGACTCTCTCTGTTTCTCTGTGTCTCTATCTCTCTGCCTCTCTGTCTCTCTGTGTCTCTGTCTGTCTGTCTGTCTGTCTCTCTCTCTCTTTCTGCCCCTACCTTTTGCAGTACTGGGGTTTGAACTCATGACCTTACTTGCTAGGCAGGCCCTCTACCACTTGAGCCACATTTCCAATCCTAAAGCCTTGATTTCTTTCCTTTTCCTAACAGAGTTTGAGGTGCAGGACCATGGATGCTGTGTTGTCCTACGAGGCCCCACGGCCTCTACTACAATTCTCTTGTGCTTTTAAATACTGTGTACTTTTCTTTTTTAAAATTATAGTGGGATTATATTGGAAACTCCACCATCTTTGGCTTTATGTTATAAAATGACTCTGGGAAGTCTTAGCATCATACCATAGACACTCATTATAACACACAAAAACATTGTATCTTCCCAGGGACATTGTGATTATATAACTGAGTTGATAGAAGCACATTTTGAACAGCCTTTTCCATTTCTGATATCCTGTTTAGCATTTAATTCTTTTTTTGCCTGAAGGTTATCGTATGTTTATGGAAACATTGAAATATTACATATAAAATACCCCTTTACTATCAGATTGCTCTGATTTAGCCTTAATTTTGTTAAACTTTTTAGAAAGGAATGCAGTGCTGCTGTGGGAAGAAATGTACTATATACTATTTCTGTATCATTAAAATGAAATTTTTATGGTGCCTTTTCCTTGCTTTCTTGGGGTTATGGGAAAGCTGGAATCGGGTCTGCACAACTTCTGAGATGTCTGATGTGCCAGGAAAGAAGAGTCCTTTAGGCAACACTGTATGGGCATCTCCTTACCAAGACATCATTACCATTGTTGTTGAAAACCTCCTACATTTACCGTGTTCGAGGAGGCATTCTAGAGCATTGAAAAAGAGGTTTCAAACCCCAACCACACTCCAGAAGTAACAGAGTTTACTCTGTTAAACACACACACACACACACACACACACACACACACACGGCTGAACCAGAGTGGAAAAAGATGTATTACATGGCATGTATGTGCACCAATCTCCAGCCATCCTTAGGGGTACAGAGATGAGCTTTAGCTTTTACA